ATATTTTCTTTAGGAGAGTGAATCATGGTGCTTTCTTGATTTCAAACTTGTAAACCCAGTCCATCACTAAATAAAGACCAAAATCTACCTCTTTCCAATTTATTAACAATTACTCAGTAGTGTGCAGAGATATAAATGTTGATCTTTACATTCTTACTGTGCATTTAGTCCCTGATTTGAAATCTAATTTGTTCGACTTTCTCCTGCCTTTATGCATCTGAGCCATTCACAGGCACAGGGTCAAAAAGAACATTTAACCAGTGCGTTCAGTGGTTAGAGCTGTGACCTCAAGATGGCAGTGCACCTCTGCTGTTGCAGAATATGTGGAAGGTTCATTTTAGTGGATTCTGAGTGAACAGGCTTATGGCAGAAGCTGATGTTTTTATTGACTTGGTAGACAATGTGAGAAAGCACCATGATGCTAGAGAAAAGAAGGGGCAATCTGAGCCTCTTAAAAGTATACGTGTGATGCTTTTAGGTCCATATAATCCAAGATTACCTTCTCATCTCAAGATCCTTAACTTAATCATATCTTGAAAGTTTTTTTTTTCCAATACAAGGCAACATTTACAGATTCCAGAGATTAGGACCCGATGTTTTTTTTTTTTGCCTATCACAGTTGGCTTGCTGGTTCTTTTCTTTTCTAAGATGAGAAAATAATATACATATTAGGCAGAATCCAGTGATGAAAAATAGGAACCCCATCTATTATTTTATTTTCTCAGTGTTTAAAATTTTTATTTAAAAAAGCCATATAAGAAAATTGACTATATTTGTATACAGTTATATCTGTGAATTTTGAATTTTAATGTTACCATAGATTCATGTAAGCATCAGAGAATCATGACACAAAAGAGTTTCACTGCTCCCCAAAACTCCCTTGTTCTATCATTTCTAATCATATCTACTCTCATCCCTAACTCCTTGAGACCTTGCTATGTTCTTTTATATTTTTATCTTTTTAAGAATGTCAAATTAATTGAACCATAGAATAAAAAACCTTGGTTCTTGGTGAGAAGAAGCACATGCCACTGGGCACATGCACAATCTCCAATTCTGCCACCACCCTCAGTTTTATCTACACCTGAAGTTTTGAACTTTTAACTCATTTTATAGGAATAACTCATCATTTCAAGCATTTGACTTCCTTTGGAGATTTGTTTTATAGTTCTACAAAAGAAACACTATGGCAATTAATAATGGAGAGGTGCAGGGGAATGTTGCAGAGACTCATAAATCAGATTGAGATATGTTCTTTATAGAAGTCTAGTTATACCAACTGTATTCTAAATCTTTCTAACATTTTAAGATGATTTTTATTGATCAAAATTCACTTCAGCCATACTAACTGGGGTATGGTTGTTATTTGACTTTGCTAGGAGTTGGCATTAAATAACATATCCAACAATTCTTTAACTTTGTTGCACTAGCAATGGGTTTGTGGAGCTGAATTACAGCATTAGAGTGGTTATTGCTTCAAGTAAAGCCAATATTTTAGCAAGTTATTTTATTAGGAAGAGAACAAAGTAGAGTAAATCAGAAATATATAATATTCTAGCATTAGTGGGAAAATACCACTAAAAGGATGAAAAACAAAGAATGTGAAGGAGAGTATGACAATCGGTGGTTCCAAACATCTAGATGAATTCTCTTTTACAGTATTGGATGGGGCTGTCTACTTTATGCCATTACATGTTTGTTTCAAGCATCTTGGGTCAGCACTCATCTTCTGTGGTCTCTGCTTCTGGTGATTCTCTGGAGAACCAACCTCAGTTTAAGATGTCTTGTAAGTAACTGTTCAAATCTTGTCACTTAAGGATGCGTGAGGTAGTTTATCTGCTGAACTGCTAATAAGTATACCTAATAAAGTCATTTCCACAAGCTCAATGGCAGTCTTTCTCTGAGATTTTTTCAGAGCACCAAGTCACCCGGGTTAAAGTCATGTGAAGCCTGATTAAATGAAAGGCTAAGAAATCAACCTGTGGCTGTTGATGGATAGACTGAGTATCGTGGGTTTATTTATCTAGTTCAGTTTATGAAAGATTGGAATATGTATGATTTGGGACATTCTGAGTTACATGGGCCTATCTGTAACTAGTTCATAGTGAGACAACATATGGTTTATTAAGGGAAGAATGCAGGGCCATGAGAGCTAAGGTTAATAATGCATCAGCCCATTGGAGTTCAAGGGTAACTGCTTCAGAAACTAATTTCAGTTTTAATATTCTATTTGTTCTTTCTACTCTTTCAGAGGAAAGAAGGGTGATAAGAAAAGTGAAGTTTCTGAGTGAGGGCAAAACCTTACATAACTGCCCCAGAGAAATGTGCTCCCCTATACGCAGATAAATTGAAATCGCACAGGTGTTAAGCACAAAATCAAGGTGATTTTTAACTCTTGTGAGTGTTGTGGTTTTCTGACAGGAGAATGCTTCAACTTATGTAGAAAATAAAATACTATTATTAGTACACACATGACCCATGGAGAGAATGAAATTGTCTAAGATCCTTTTGGGGATACTGAAATGTTTTCTTGGGACAGTATTCCAGTTCATATGCCACCTTTACAGTTTTTACGGGATTTTGTTGGTTCCAAGAAACCAACAAAGACAGCATGAACTGGGCCTCTTGCTATAGTAGAAAAGTTTTCACATCAGTATTTGTTTGTATTGCAGCCAATATGTCCCTACTGTGATGTGTTATCTCTGTAGGATTTTACCAGATATTCATTGGAGGTCATTTGGCTCCACCAGTCAGCTGCCCTGGCTTTGACCTATCATCATGTATCAAAGAAATCAATAATTCCTAGTGCTTATTTACAAAATTGGGGGCCAAATTTTCTGCATCTAAGATGGAGTTATTGAGCTTTTCCATGGATTTGTCTTGATATTCTCAGAGGTGCTTGCATAAGAGCTTTAGTCAGAAAGACACGTTTAGCGTGATGATCTGCTCATTTTTCTCGTAGTTTCTACAGTGTCTTTTATCCTGTTACACTTTGTCTTCATGACAAAAATTTCTTTTAGTGCCATGAGGCCCTCCAATAATTCACGTATTGTGTGTCCATTTTTAATAGGAATACATGAGGCACCCAAGAGGGTTAAGAAAAAATTAGATGGTTAAGAAACCTCATTGTCTCCACAGTATTTGGACGGTGTGAACTACTTTAAAAACATGTTGATTAACACTGAATATAATTTTTTTTTTTTTTTTTTGTAATTGACGTATCCAAGAAAGAGCCACAAGTTCCACCACTTGAATTAATTTTATTTCTGCTAAGGAATTGGATTTTATAAAGAAATCTGTAGTACTTATTGCTTAAGTACTTATTACTTATTGCTTAACCAACATAGTATTGTCTCTTTTCAATTTTTAAGATAAGATTATTAAAAAATTTATTAATGCAGACTTTGGCATGAGAGTGTCCCAAATATTTGTTCTGGACATGGACGCTTCTTGAAAGACAGAAGTACAACTCTGAGATTCCTTTAATTGATAAGTATAACAGAGTTGAATAATATGAGGAGAAATTAATAACATTTCATAATTAGTCAACCTGTTGATAGAAACCTTCAGTTGTCCTTAGATAACAGAATCTTGGCACTCTATGTAGTATCCTCAGATTTAATGGTGATCCAGTGCAAGATCTGAAGACGTTTCAACCCATTTAGCTGAGACTGCAATTATTTTGAGACAAGGAGGCTACCTTTGACTACTGTATGTAGAGATAGATGTGATATGCAATGGGCTTTTGTTGTTTGCCATGTTGTTTAGTAACATCCCTAGGGCATGGCCTTTCCTTTATATTCCTGCACAAAGAAAAGCTTATGACAATCAACGATCTTATGATCAGCTGTCCTATGGAGTGTACAGAATACGCTCCCTTTACAGCTGAGCATATAGAAGATACAGTCTTGTTGTGGCTCATTTGGTGTCCCAATTGAGATAATGAGAAAAATATAAATTCAAAGGTTTGTTAACCTAATGACCAAACTCTGATGTCTATTCTGGCCTTTCTGAACAGAACTGAGCAGTCAAAATTAGAGAGAGAGGAGAACGGGACCTTTATGACAGAACTCGATATCTGAGGGCTTCATTCTAATCTTCAGTAAAAGAGATCCGTTTTTTCTACTGTTTGGCCCCAAGATAGGTAACTAGATAGACATTGGTAGTGAGGAATCATATTGCTATATGAATATGTAGGTTGAAAAAGCTGCAGTGATTATTCCAAGCAACTTTTCCTTTTTATCATAAAGTGATTTATTTATTTGTTATTGTTAGTGACATCAAGTCAATTCTGACTTCTAGTGACCCTAAATACAGCAGTGGAATCCTGCCTAGTCTTTTTGCACCATCCTCTCACGTTCCAGTGCTATATCAGATAATGTTTGCTGCTCTTCCTAGTGTTATCATGGCCAATCATTTTGGAAATGGGTGGCCAGAGCCTTCTTCCTAGTCTTAGCTTGGAAGCTCCTCTGAAACTTGTCCACCATGGATGACCCTGTTGGTATGTGAAATACCAGTGGCATAGCTTTCAGCATCACAGCAACACACATGCTCCAGAGAATTACAACTGACCAATGGGTGGTGTGACTCCTGACTGGGAAGCCAACCCTAGGCCCTGCTGTGAGAGCACCAAATCTTAACCACTAGATCACTATGGCTGGCTGGTTTATTTCCACCTTAGGTGAAAGAATAGTACACAGAAGTGTGGTGAAACATGACTGTTGCATCTTATGCTGTTTCTAAAATCCATTACATGTAGTATTTCAAAATAAACTCCATCCACTCAGGTCCATCACAGATGCAAACACTGAACATAGCAGTTGGTCAATCATTAATTTTCCTTTCAATATAAAATTGTAACCATGCTTATTTTTCTATAAAACTGTTACCAATTTAAGAGTTGGTTATGCAAAAGGAAGTTTGGGTTTGGTGAGTCTCAGCCGCTACACATAGAAGTTTGATGTGAGCCACACCACCTTTTTATACCCAGAAACCCCTGTTTCCTGTGCTGGGACAGCAGCAGCACAAACCCAGAAATTCTTTCCTCCCTCTGTTGAACTCACCTCACAGTGTAGAGCTCTGATATTGAAGAATAAGATGTTTTCTGTCCAGTGGAAGAATTCAAACATGTCGTTCTTCAGCCTTCTGAAGGTGCTCGTGGCTTCAACATGGCTAGGTAGGGATGGCCCCAGTGGGAATGTGCCTCCTCTATGACCTAAGGACCCAGGGATACAGGCAGTGTCCTGAGGGTACCCTGGGAAGGAGGGGTAACAGGGTGTAATACAGAATTTCTTTGTCCCAACACTTATCCTAAATCTCTGACTCTTTTTTCTTTCAGGATCCAGTATCGCCCAGAAAGTAACTCAAGTCCAACCGGCAACGTTAGTGCAGGAGAAGGAGGTTGTGACCCTCAACTGCAGATATGACACGAGTGTCACAACTTATAGTCTATTCTGGTACAAGCAGTCCAGCAGTGGAGCAATGATGTTTCTTATTCGTCAGGATTCTTATAACCAGCAAAATGCCACAGAAGGTCGCTACTCACTGAATTTTCAGAAGGCAAACAAATCCATCAACCTTGTCATCTCACCTTCACAGCTGGATGACTCCGCAGTGTATTTCTGTGCACTGAGTGAGCCCACAGTGAGAGATGTGCTAGAGGGAGGTGTGCAAAAACCCCAGGGCTCTGCTTGATACATGCACCTGCTGTAGGGACCAGGGTGTGGAATTGTCATCACGGGAAGTGGCTAGGGCTGTGCCGGCAAAGGTATACAGTTAGAAAGAAAATACTCACTCTAGAACATGCTTTTTAGGTTCATAGACCATGTCCAGAGTTATCATTCATCAAAAATATCCTTATCCCTGAATCATTGGCTTGAAATTGTTTCTTGAAGACAGAGAACAGCCACAAAAAAAACAATTTGCTATTTGGTGATTAGATTGAGCTAGAAGAATTGACTAAGGAAATTCAGAAACCTCTGACTCAAAAATCAGTAAAAAATACGTGTGAATTGTGGAGTTTCAGATAAATTTGTTCAATAAATATTTATTGAGTACATATTATGTTACAGGTATTTTTTTCTCTTGAGGAAGATTAACCCTGAGCTAACACCTGTGCCCATCTTCCTCTGTTTTATATGTGGGACACTTGCCACAGCCTGGCTTGATAAGCGGTGCATAGGTCCATGCCCAGGATTCAAACCGGCGAACCCTGGGCCCCTGAAGTGGAATGTGTGAACTTAACTGCTGTGCCACCAGGCTGTCCCTGACAGGTATTGCTTTGAACAAGAAAGGTTATGAAATCTCTCCGTGGTTTTGCTTTTTTTGTATATCTTACTCTTTAATACCATTTGCTGAACTGGTTTAATTTAGCTTTTTTGGCTGAGTTAATGGTATTCCCATTTGCTTTCTAAGTTGCCTACTATGTGACACACTTTATGCTAATGCTCATTCCATCTTATTAATACCTCCCGCGAGGAAGAGCTCAATTTCCATAATGTAGGTTTACCTTCCTCCCACCAGTCTCATCCACACAATGATCAATAACCAGTGGCTCTTCGAGGGACAGTGTGAAGGAGCAGAGCATGAATTATCCTCTTTCTCTGCTCTCCCTTCCCTTCACCCCTCCTCCAAAAGCAGGTTTGCCATCATCTGGCTCATTTTGCACACCTCCAGGCCCTCTTTGTCCAGTGAGTGTTCCACAATCCAAAAGACTCATTCTCTCCAGTTTCTCCCTTCCACCCCTAACTCCTTTTCTCAGTGCCTTAAAATTTGAATGGTAATGGATAGTTGATAAGTTGATTTAGTATTTTAACTCTGTCTTATATTTGCATTTGGAAAGCAAATGTATAGAGTAGAAATCATAAAAAGAGTGTCTTTAATCTTTTTTAAAAATTTTACCATTTTAACGATTTTTAAGTGTACAATCCAGTGGTATTAAGTATATTTACATTGTTCAACCAGCACCACCATCCATCTCTAGAACACTTTTCATCATGAAAAACTCCAAATTTGTACTTATTAAATGATAACTCCCCATTCTTCTGTCTCTCCAGCCCCTGGCATCTACCGTTCTACTTTCTCTTTCTATGAGTTTGACTCCGGATACCTTGTGTAAGTGGAATCATGCAATATTAGTCATTTTGTGACATTTCATTTGTCATCATGTTTTCAAAGTTTATCCACATTGTAGCATGTGTCGGAATTTCTTTCCTTTTTTAAGGAAAGAATAATATTTTATGTGTGTGTACTACATTTCGTTTATCCACTCATCTGTGGATGGGCATTTGGATCCCTTCCACCTTTTGAGGGAAACATGGATATAGAATTATCTCAAAATTTGGGGTATACACCCAAATTATTTCAAGTTTATTGAGTATATTCTCAGAAGTTGAATTGTTGGATCATATGGCAATTCCTGTTTTAAAACTTTTAGGAAGCGTTTCTATGGTTAATTTGAACAGCTATGCTCTAGAATGCTTTATTGCAAGCAAGTTTCAAGGAACAGAGAGAGAGAGTGATCACTGGCCATGAATGAAGTTCCAGTACCCTGGGGGTTGAGCCTAGAAGAGTTTGTCACTCTTGCTGCAGTGCATTGCTCAAGTCAGATGCCTAATAATTGGTCTGCAAGGAATGCTCATGCCGTTAACTGGTGGTCAGCTCCTGAACGGCAGTGTGTATATCCTTTATAGCGTTTTCTTTCTTCTATTGGTGAAAGAGCCAAATCTTCAATTATTTAATTATTTTTATTAGTTCCCTTTGCATAAATAAAGAACCTGTTAACATACTGTCTTAAAATATTTCAAAGACTCGAGAAGAAGTAATTTTGCTAGCCTCTGGCCTTTCAAATTTTCTCTGAAAATAATCTATAGTGTTAAAAACCAGGGAACAGGTTTTCATTATCAAAGAGATCTGTGTTCAGAGTTATTAGCTCTGACATGAACTTTCTAGACACTTGTGAGCTTTGTTTCATTATTTTTAAAATAGGAGAGTGACATCCTCTTTAATATTTTATTGTTACAATTTATCAATAATGCGTCCAAAGTAGCAGATGATCAGTGAATGAGGGTAACCTGAGTAGATACAGAAAAAGCATTTGACAAATTCAGCATTCATTTCTGATTAAAACTCCCCACAAATTAGAAATTGAAGAGAATTTCTTCAAATTTATTATGGGCCTTTATGAAAACCCTGTGTCAAATGCCCTACTTGATGGTGAAAGACCGAATGCTTTCCCCCTAAGATCAGCTTGAAGGGAAGAATTTTGACTCTCACCACATCTATTTAATATTGTACGAGGCCATCTAGCCAGTGCAAGAAGGCAAGACAGAGAAACAAAAGTCATACAGTCTGGAAAGGAGGAAGTGAACCTATCTTTATTCACAGACAGCATAATTGTCTGAGTAGAAAATCCAAAGGAATTAACCAAAAAAAAGCTACTAAAATGAATAAGTAAGTTTAACAAAGTCAAATGTACACCTACCACGTGATCCAGCCATTCCACTCCCAGATATTGACCCAAGATAAATAAAATCATATGTCTATAAAAAATCTTTTACACAATTGTTCATAGCAGCTTTATTTGTAACAGCCCCAAATTGGGACTAACTGAAATGTACATCAACAGGTGAAAAGGTAAAGAAATCACTCATATCTATATAATGGAATACTGCTCAGCAACAAAAAGAAATGAACCACTGATACCTACAAGACCACGGGAGAATCTCAGAATAACTATGCTGAGTGAAAGAAGTCAGACAAAAAAGTATATATGATTTAATTTACATAAAATTATAAAATATGCAAGCTAGTTTGTGACGGAAGTGTTGGCTGGACATGGGAGAGGGAGGTGAGGAGTGGGTTGAAAGGAGGATTGCAAAGACACACGATGAAACTTTTGGGGTGATGCATATGTTCATTATCTTAAATATGGAGATGGTTTCACAAGTATATACAAATGTCAAATGTAATGAAATTGTTCACTTTAAATGGTACTGTTTGTCAAAATTATGTGTTAATAAAGCCATTAAAAATCCACATTTGTTAAATTTGTGCAAGTATTTGTACAAGTGTTGCGTGACCGAACATGCAAACTATTTCTCCTCCAGGTTCTAATTGACCTTAAGCCATGTTTCTTTTTAAAGAGTACATAACAATTTTTTGCACCCACGTGCTATACCATTTACTTTCAACTCAGTGTCATCCCAACTTATTTGGTGTTCTTCCCTGTATATCAAAATAGAAGTTTGTATCAGCTTTTCCAGAATTATTTCTACCATAGTGTTGTGCCAGGTTCTGACAATGTGATTTGGAAAGTGCAGGAGAAGGGAAAGCATATGTGAACCCAAACAGTGTCAGGGCCTGAATTTCTTACTAAGTCCGCATTTGGGAGACTATTCACATGATGACTCTGGACTCATGAAGCTTCTTGATCTGAATCTGTGGAGAGTGAACGCCAGGAAACAGACTGAGCTGAGCTTCTATCTATGTTTTCAGGGATAAATGTTTACCGAGCCTTACAGAAAGATGTATCTTTCTCCAGAACTATATCCTTATGATGCTCAAAGGTTTTCTGTTTTGTTTCATAAAAAAAGAGGTCATAAAAAGGGAGCTAAAGAAGTGCTTGCTTCTGCTGCTGGTACTTCATAGAAAAAGATCATTTTTAAAAAATTCATGTAGTTGGGGGACATTTTCTCAGGCTGATCCAAGAGTTTTCTCCCTGATCTCTGAAAATGCCCAAGAACACTGACATCTTCTCAGCTATAGAAATACCCTAGGATGCTCTGTTAAAGAACTTCCATGTCAGTGGGGTCCTAAGAACAAAATAGACCTGAGCGATTAAGGCAGGTGTTGTTCAGATTTCTAAGCGCCACCTGAAGACTGACATGGGCCTCATATATAACGTTAGGGACGAGAACATATTTCTGACTTTGGGAGGTGTCTAGGAGACATGCATCCCATTTCAGTCCCTGTCCACGAGGGGGAGCAGCTTCCTAACACAAACACATTTCCTGAGTGACATGTAGGCTTCGGTTTATCATTTCACTGTGGTTTCACCATTTCATCACGTTAAGAACCTTATTTAGACAACACTCCAGAGATGAGCTCTTCTCCAGGCTTCGTGACTGTGGTACTCTTAATGCTTGGTAAGTAAAACGTTTTTTAAAATTTGGATTCTTTCTTCTATATCAGCAAAACCTTGGACTGTAATTTTATCTCAGAGCTTTATGCCCAAGGTGACACAGATCTCTTTCATTTTCCTCAGGACAAAGCCATGGTGACTCAGTGACTCAGATGGAAGGCCAAATGATCCTCTCAGAAGGGGCTTCCCTAAATATGACCTGCACTTATTCAGCCAGAGGCTACCCTGCTCTTTTCTGGTATCTTCAATATCCTGGAGAAGGTCCACAGCTCCTCCTGAGCGCCAAGAAGGACAACGAGATGGCACGCAACAAAGGTTTTGAAGCCACGTACAATAAAGAAGCTACCTCCTTCCACTTGGTGAAAGCCTCAGTCCTGGAGTCAGACTCGGCTATGTACTACTGTGCTCTGAGGGACACAGTGACAGGAACTGCAGGGGGAGCTGAGCGCAAACTCTGAGCAGCAACAAAGGGGCCTGGTTGCTGAGTGTCTCTGACCATTTGATCCACTCCGTTTTCATCAGAGTCTGTGGTTGTTTGTCCCGCAGTCCCTGCTTGATACAAAATCATGCAAATGGCTGGAGCATAAGAACAAGCAGTGAACATTCCCCATACCCAACTCTTCATTAGTGAAATTGAAAAGAATCTGACTCCAATAGTTTCTTATTCAGGGCCAAAGTGCTTTCAAGCTCAGACCACTTAAACAATGATGTGGTCTCTTGCTCATCCTTGCAGTCAAAATCTAGCCCGGCAAGTTGTTCCAGGCCACCCTGGTTGGCATTGGTATGTCTTATTATACTTTTGGAGAACCAAATTGTGCCAGAGAAGGTAATGCCTGCATAATGTCTTCCTGACAGAGTATGACAGGAGTGGTGATAGGAGAGATAGAGCCTCCAAAATCAGGGGTGTTTATTCCTGAGGAAAATTACCCCTGAGCTAACATCTGTGCTAATCCTCCTCTATTTTTTGTATGTGGGACACCTCTACAGCATAGCTGTTGAGTGGAGCAGGTCTGAGCTAGGGATCCGAACCCATAAACCAGGGCCACCAAAGCAGAGCACATGGAACCTTAACCGCTTTGCCATGGGGCTGGACCCCAAAAGCAGGGTCTTAATTAAGAAAGAAAGGAAGAGAAGAAAAGAGGAGGAACAGAATCTCACATGTAAATAAGCATTGGAAACAGAGGAAAAGATATTTATCCTGGTTTTCGTAGTGAATCAGGTGATAGAGAGTCTGATATTCAAAAAGAAGGGGAGGGGCAGAAACATAAATGGGGAAATGACTCATGTCTGAATTGTGCACAGGGCCTCTCATCTTATTCCCGGCCAGTACACAGATCTGTTGGCTTTCTTACAATGAGCCCTCAAGTGAGATATTTTTTCAGTGCAGTATATGGAGAAATGAAAACTTGGGGTCAGCCCATGGCATCGTGGTTAAGTCTCACATGGCTCTGCCTCAGGCACATGGGCATTGAATCTGTAGATTGCACTGAGGAGCAGGGAAATTTTAACAATATTAATTCTTCCAATCCAAGAACACAGGATATCTTTCCATTTGTTTGTGTCTTCTTCAATTTCTTTCATCAACATTTTATAGTTTTCAGTGTACATATCTTCCACATCCTTGGTTAAATTTATCCGAAGCATTTTATTATTTTTGATGCAGTTTAAATGAGATTATTTTCTTAATTTCCCTTTCCGAGAGTTCATTGTTAGTGTATATAGAAATATAATTGATTTCCATATGTTGATTTTTCATCCTGAGAATTTACTGAATTTATTCATTAGTTCAAACAGATTTTTTGGTGGAGTCTTTAGGGTTTTTTATAAGTAAGATCATGTCATCTGCAAATAGGTATAATTTTACTCTGCCTTATCTATTTGGATGTCTTTTATTTCTTTTTCTTGCCTATTGCTCTTACTAGGATTTCCACTACTATGTTGAATACAAGTGATGGAAGTGGGCATCCTCATCTTGTTCCTGATCTTACAGCAAAACCTTTCAACTTTTCACTATTCAACATGACGTTATCTGTGGGCTTGTCATATATGACCTTTATTATGTTGGGGTACATTACTTCTACAACGAATTCGTTGAGAATCTCTTTCACAAAAGGATTTTTTGTCAAACGTTTTTTTCTACATGATCATATGGTTTTTATCCTCCATTTTGTTTAGATGATGTATGACATTTATTGATTTGTGTATTTTGAACCATCTTTGCCTACCAGGGGTAAATCCCACTTGAGCATGTCCCATGATCCTCTTAATGTGCTTTTGAATATAGACTTTGCATCTATATTCATCAGCGTTATTAATCTGTAATTTTTTTTTCCTGAGATATATTTGCTTGGCTTTGGTAACACGATAATGCAGATCTCTTAAAATGAATTTGGAAGTGTTCCCTCTTCAATTTTTGAGAAGAGTTTGGAAAGAATTGCTAATTCTCTTTAAAATATTTGATAGAATTTAACAGTGAAGGCATCTAGTCTTGGGTTTTTCTTTTTGTGGAGGTTTTTGGATATTGAATCAATTCCTTACTTGTTATTGGTATGTTCATATTTTCTATTTCTTCATGATTCAGCTTTGGTGGGTTGTGTGTTGGTGTATAATTGTTCGTAGTAGTCTCTTACAATCCTTTGTATTTCTGTGGTATCAGTTGTAATGTCCCTTCTTTCATTTATAATTTTATTCGAGTCGTGTCATTTTTTCTGCATCTAGCTAAACATTTGTTAATTTGTTTACCTTTTAAAAAACTCTTCTCTTCATTTTGTTGCTCTTTTCTAGGCTCTGTTTTATTTATTTCTGTTCTAATCTTACTTATTTCCCTCCGTTTTCTGACTTTGGGCTTACTTTGTTCTTTTTCTACTTCCTTGAGGTGTAAAATTGTGTTGTTTATTTAATACCTTTCTCTTTTCTTAATATAGGCATTTATCACCATAAAACATCTCTCTTAAAACTGTTTTTGCTGCATCCTATAAGTTTTGGTAGGTTGTTTTACCATTTTCATTTGTGTCAAGATATTGTTTAGTTTCTTCTTTGACCAATTGGTTGTTTAGGAATGTGTTGTTTAATTTCCATATATTCGTGAATTTTCCAATTTTTCTCTCGTTATTGATTTCTAGTTTCATACCATTGTGGTCATAAAAGATACTCGGTATGTTTTCAGTCTTTTAAATTTTGCTGACTTATTTTGTGGGCTAACACATGATCTATACTAGAGAATGTTCCATGTACAGTTGAGAAGAATGTGTGTTCTACTGTTGGATGGAGGGTTTTCTCATATGTTAGATCCATTTGGTTTATAGTGATGGTCAATTCTGCTATTTCCTTATTGATTTTCTATTTGTGTGATCTATCCATATTTGAAAGTAGGGTATTGAAGTCTCCTATTATTTTTTTAAAGATTTTATTTTTTTTCCTTTTTCTCCCCAAAGCCCCCCAGTACATAGTTGTACATTCTTCGTTGTGGGTCCTTCTAGTTGTGGCATGTGGGACGCTGCCTCAGCGTGGCCTGATGAGCAGTGCCATGTCCACGCCCAGGATTCGAACCAACGAAACACTGGGCCGCCTGCAGCGGAGCGCGCGGACTTAACCACTTGGCCACGGGGCCAGCCCCTGAAGTCTCCTATTATTATGGTATTGCTGTCTATTTCTCCTCTTGGATCTATTATTTTTTATGTATTGGGGCTTTGATATTGGCTGCATTCACATTTATAATTATTATATCATCTTGATGAATTCAGCCTTTTATCGTTATATAATTTTTTTTTGTCTCTTTGACAGTTTTTGACTTAAATTCTATTTTGTCTGATATAAGAATAGCCTCTCCTGCTCTTTTTTGGTTACCATTTGCATGGACTATCTTTTTCCAACACAAACTTCAGTCTATGTGTGTCCTTAAAGCTAAAGTGAGTCCTCTGTAGGCAGCACACAGGGGGATCTTGTTTTTCAATCCATTCAGCTTCTCTATGTGTTTTGACTGGGAAATTTATTCCATTTACATTTAAAGCAATAGTTGACAGGTGAGGCTTTATTACTGCCATTTTTAAAAATTATTTTCTGATGTTTTGTAGTTGCTTTGTGCCTCTCTTACTGTCTTTCTTTGTGATTTGATTCTTTTTTGTGGTAGTGTGCTTAGCTTTTTTTCTTTTTCTATTTTGTCTATGTCCTAAAGGTTTTTATTTCTGTTTACTATAAGGTTTTCTTAAAACATCTTATAGTTATAACAGCCTATTTTAAGTGGATAACAACTTAACTTTGGTTGAATATAACAAGTCTACACTTTTCCTTCTCTCCTCCACATAATTTACGTTACTGATGTCACATTTACATCTTTTTATACTGTGTACCTATTAACAAATTATTGTACTTATTTGTAAAAATTTCATCTTTTAATTTTTCTACTAGAATTAAACTGATTCAAGCATCACCATTATGGTATTAGAATATCCTGAATTTGACTATATACTTATCTTTACCAGTGACTATTATACTTTTTATGTTTTCATCTTGCTAATTAATGTCCTTTTGTTTCAGATTGAAAACTCTCTTTATCATTTATTCTAAGACAGGTCTAGTGGTGATGAACTCCCCTAGTTTTTGTTTCGGAAAGTTTTTATCTCTCTGTCGTTTCTTAAGGACAGCTCTGCTGGGTATAATATTCTTGGTTGTCAGTTTTTCTCTTTCAGCACTTTGAATATATCATCTCACTCTCTCCTGGTCTGCCAGGTCTTTGCTGATTAATCTGCTGACAGTTCTATGGGGGCTCCCTTGTATTTAATGAGGAAATTTTCTCTACTGCTGTAAAAATTCTACCTTTGCCTTTTGACAATTTGTTTATAATATCTCTCAGTGTGCATCACTTTAAATATGACCTCCTTGGTATTCTTTTTGTCTCATGTATCTGGAAGTCCATTTCTCTCCCAAGATTTGGAATGTTTTCAGTCATTCTTTCTTTAAATAGGCTTTTTACTCCTTTATTTCTTTCTTCTCCTTCTAGGACTCCCAAGATGCATGGATGGGTTCATTTTATGAAGTCCCATATGTCCTTTAGGCTTTTTCCACTCTTCTGTGTTCTTTTACCTTTTATTCCTCTGACTGGATAATTTCAAATGACTTTTCTTCAATGTCACTGCTTCTTTATTCCGCTTGATCAAGTCTGATTTGGAACCCCTCACGTGAATTTTTCAGTTCTGCATTGTATTCTTCAGCTTCAGTATTTCTGTTTGGTTCCTATTTATTGCTTCTATGCCTTTGTTGAACTTCTCACTTTGTTCATGTATTGTTTTCCTGACTTAGTTTAGATGTCTGTCTGTGTTCTTTTGAAGTCATTGAGCTTCTTTAAGATGATCATTTCAAATTGTTTTGAGGCAAGTCACAGATTTCCATTTCTTTCAGTTGGTTACTAGAGATTTATTTTTTTCCTTTGATGGTATCATGTTTTTTTGATTCTTTATGTTCTTTGTAGCTTTGCTTTGTTGTCTGAGCATTTGAAGAAGCATCTACCTCTCCCAGTCTTTCTGGTCTGGTTTTTACTGGGAGAGACA